TTATGGTATCCAAATAATAAAAGCTCTAAGCCATAGATAACGTTGTTGTCTATGCATTGTGGAATTTCGGTAATTCTACTATAAATACCGAGGGAGTGGTTCTATCCCACGCAAAACAGTTTTCTTGCTGCGTTGTACATTTGTAAAAAGAAGACAACGCATGCGGGTATAGTTTCCTCTTAATAATATGCTGTTATATAATTTCACTAAATTTCACTCGATTTCAATATTTATTTTTTAAAACATATGATAAAAAAAATGACTGTCTTGAAAATTCAAAAAACAAATTGCATAAAAATATTACCAACTAATTTTATCGTGTTTTGGAAAATAATTTAAAAACAGGTAGTTGGAAAATTAAATTCAACTATAAAAACTATAAATCATAAATATATATATTTCAAATATTATATACAAAACCAACCGATAATTATTTTGACCGGGAATCGGGAATAAATGTTGGTTATAAGACCGGGTTTGAATATAAGAGGTAACTGCTTTGATATTAATATTTACATATAACTAGGTACCTTGATTACCGGTTACCAATAATCGTTTCCAGTATTACAGTATTATAAAAACGAATGTTACAGTTTTTCGTTACAAACCAGTTACTGATTTCAAGCCCTGTAAATTTGAAATATGTTTATTTTTTATTCAGACCAACTTATATGCAGTATTGCTATATTCTCGCTATATCATTGCTTGGACTGAGGATTTTTTAGAACTGCACAACATATTCTTATATTTGCAGGTTGATTAATATTTTTGTTACTGTAATCAAGGTTCATAGGAATACTACTTAATAGTAAGACATTTTGTACATGGTTTTTCTATTTAAACTTTTATTGTAGGTATATAAGACAATCAGTAATCAATAGTGCAACTATACCGCAAGGCAGCTTCAGAAGTCATTAATATACTTACCTTATTAGATTCTGAGAGGAACAAAGATGCATTGGTTTTGCCATGATATGAATTTTTTCTTTTATTATTTTTTTTTAATTTGTGTAGCCATGACCTTTTAGGACAGTAAAAGTTTCTTCAATAGTTTCTGTTTCAGGTTTCTCCTAACCTCTGATAGAAATTTAAAAAACGGGAACTTTTACCTAAGATCGGTTTTCGACAAAATCGATTTTTTTTTTTGGCGTAACTAAAACAAAGTAGGTACTGTAGGTACATACAATTTATACAAAATAATTGTGACGATATATATTTTTAATCATTTTATACAGATTTACTTCAATCGTATGAGATACCATGTATTCAATTTTCATAATATTTGACGGAGCGAAAACATTTTTATCTACAATAATTAGGAAAAAACAGAGAAAGTCAAAATATTCTCATGATTATAAATAGATCAAAAAATTATAAATTTTATCATATATAGCTGATATTGCGGAACAATTCTAGTTTAGCGCCCACTCGAATTTTTCGATTTTTTTTTTTCGGAAACCTATGTATTTCGACGAGTTTAAAACGATGGTGTAAAAATTAGTTTGCGGAAATGATTATTTTGGAAGTTACAGCCTTCCAAAGTTTGAGATTTTACGTTTATACGCATGCGCGCCACACTACTTTTTTTTTATATAATGCACCGCTGAGGACGTCGATATTTTTATATTAAAAGTTACGAGTCCGTATGCATAGTTAATTTGTGTTTTCACACCTTGACCTGTTTACATAAGTATATAGTGACTCCCTTCGCCTATCGGCTCCGGTCGCCAGTTAGAGTAATATAAGTCTATAGAAGCTCCCTACGCCTGCCGGCTCCGGTCCCCAAACTCTCGCTGGATGGGGGGGCTACAACTAGTTTGCGCACATTTTAAAATTTCCCTGCTTAAACCTGTAACTCGTTTTGTAACTACAACATATTGTAGAAGGAACCACTGGATTGCACACATATTTTGTACATAATATTATTATATACGTTAATATTATATTGGTTTTTAGACGCAGATAATAGTCTGTAATCGGCAATATTACTTCGATAAACTTTATCAGTATTTATGACTCATCAATAAACTGGTACTATCGTTTTGAAATCGCAAACACAAGTTTTTAGTTTTAGTTTCGACAATTATCTCGTACAGCGCTTACAGAAATATGGATTACGAAATAACAAATATATACTATACGCGTCGCGGTAAAATGTGTGTTTCTATTAACAATTTTAAGTTTTCGAAGTACAGAAAATAAAATGTGGGAATTTTTCATTTCGATGTACCAATAAAAAATGTAAGGCAATTGCTACATTAAATCCTCAGTTTAACACATAGCACACCAAAAATACATTTTTAACCACACCAGTGAAATTAAAATATTCACTGACAGTCCTAAGTCTGTAAGAGTGGGAAGGAAAATGTGAGCGCAAACCAGTGGTTACACTAGAAATAATCTGTGCCCAAATGAGTTGTAAAAATGTGCGCAAATGAGTTGTAATTTTAGTAAATGTGCGCAAACCATGTGCACCCGGATGGGGGCTCGGCCCCCAAACCCCTCGGGGCTTAAATAGCAAACCTGGGATGCCGGTTGCGACACCTTCGAGGGGTGTATGGTATCGTTCGTTGATATTATACAACATTATGTACATTCCTATTTCAAACAGTCAGTAGTGTACGTGCTTTAAAGTTGTTTTTGAATTAAATATATGGTCTGTTATTAAATTATTCAAACTTTTTGACTGCAATGAAAACGATCCGTTGCCCATCGCAGCCATTGAGCAACTTCAGTCGTGGGGCCTCATTGCAAAGCCAAATACACTGAAATGTAAGAACGATCGCTTTTTAATATTAACAGAAAATCGTGACTATGCCGATGGCTTTGTATGGCGATGCAGAAAATGTTCGACGATTTCCAGCAGGAAAGTGAGGTGATGTTAAACAATCACTCAGAAAAATATGTTTTTCCAAAAGTCCCACTTGCCCAAGCCTGGGCAAGTTAATGAAAATTTTTAACTGAGTTAAGTTAATGGAAAACATTTTAAAAAGTTTAAAGTTAACAGTTAACCTAATTTTGTTTTTAACTCAGTTAAGTTAAAAGTTATATGAACATTTTCAATTAACTTATTAACTTAAGTTAAGTTAAGTTAATTTATTTTTTTTCATAATACAGTAAAACTTCCGTAAACGGTCACCTCTAAATAGCGGTCATTATTTACAGTCCCTTTGGTGACCGTTATATGGAAGTTCTACTGTATTTATATAAATACCCAGTAATATGGTTTAAAATAATAAAAATCATAAATATTATTGAACACAGGAAATATCCAATAGCATTTCTATACATAGGTAGGTACTGAATTAATAGAATAATTCTACCTACCCATAATTATTATATAGTAGGTACAAAATTGAAAATGCCGAAACAAATACACTCTTTTGATATTTTATTAATACACTAATACAGATAAGTATTATATATTTTTTTTAAATTATTAAATAAAAATAACATAGTATTTAAAAATGTACTTAATTTTAAACTCTGAATACTTTTTCAGGGAACTAAAAATCTAAAACTGTTAGAGAATATAGTACTTAGTCAACTTTATACTTCAGTAAAATATTTACTGAACACTGATAGTCACTGTGATTCACACAATTCACATAATTCACACAAATCACTGAAACGCGGTATTGTAAATCCGAAATCGTGTGTTGCGTGTTGATAGAGCCAAGAACGAAAAGTGAACCCAAGTGGGCTATGGCCTATGAATATTTTGTCTACTGACAATATTGACTGTTTATAAATATAAATATTTGAAATATAAATGTACATGGGCATAACCCAATTAGTTTTAATTTAAAAATAACCTATTTATGCCGAAAATATTTTACATTATGTTCTTTAGAATTGTACATTTTTGGTTTGTATCTATATCAAAATAATAAAATAATAGGTATATATTAGTTATTAGTATTTATTAATTATTATTATTACAATATGCCCGTATGCCGCAGTATGGTACGGTGTATCTTTATATATACGATACACCTCTATGTTATAATATCATTGGCTATTGGGTATTGCCTATTGCTATATCTATATGTATTTAATCGAGTTATTTTTCTTGAAGAATTCTGGTTAACGGAACAAGAAATTAATTTAACTATATTTGTAATTTCCTATTCTAATAAATGGTTATGTAATGTCAATAATAATTTTTATTTTTATTATATTTATTATTTAATTATTTATAAATTAACTTAACTTGAATTTGATTAAAAGTAACTCGTTATTTATTAAGTTTATATCAATTAAAATAAGTTAAGTTAAAAATTAAGTTAATGAATATTAAATTTTAAAAAGTTAAGTTAAAAGTTAAAATTAACTTAACTTTTTAACGCGTTTATGCCCAGGCTTGCGACTTGCCTATATGGAAAATTGTAATTTTTTCTCATTTGTGGACGGAGAATGTTTCTATTTTATTTATAAAAAAACAAATTGATATTTTTGCAAACGGTTGTTGAATTGGGCATCGTTTCATCGCGAAGTTGTATATGATGGGATGATCTCACGCCATTAAAAAATCTGTAAAGTATTCTTGTTTCCATAATTTGTACTTTATTCTTTTATTTATTAATCAATTATTATAAATGTGGTGAAGGGAAGACTGTAGAAATTTATGAGTCCAAGTTTGGTCGGTGGAAATATCACAGAGGTCATCGAGTATAGGGGCAGTGGGTGTTTGGCGGTGTGGAGCGGGAAACAGGTAAATATTTCCTAATACTTGTAGAGCGGAGAGATAAGGAAACATTGTTGGTCATTATTAAAGATTGGATTTTACCCGGAACATTGATAATGAGTGATTGTTGGAAAGTATGTAATCCATTTTTTTAATTTACAAACTATTACACCTACATTAATAAGATATTAATTATGGTTTAATAAATTTAGAGTTGCGATTGTTTGAAAGATGAGGGTTACACACACCTCACCGTCAACCACTCAATTGAATTTAAGAACCCTGATACCGGAGCACATACGACATACAAATAATGTGGAAGGGATGTGCTAAAGCATCCATGAGCCAATACTGTCGTAAAAAACGATTCTACGCAGGGTACTTGGCAAAATATATGTTTTTAAAATCATGTCGATTACAAAATGTTGACCCTCTAACAGAATTTTTTCAGTTGTGTTTCATAGTATATGACCCTGTCGATGGAGTGAGAGCCGATAATGTTGATGAGTCTGCAGAGTCGGAAACTGGCACCGACTCTGAGATAGAATCTGAGGACGAATCCCAAACAGTTTTTTTTTTAGTTTCAAAATAAAATATAAAATATCAGAATTGGTTTTACTTTTTGACAGTTTCCCTATATGGTTTTCAGTGTAAAAAACAAAAAAGTTTCCCTTGACTTGATATGCAACACCTTACACCACCTCAAGTAGGTCACAGGGTAAGTTATGTTGTATAGTATGTACAGTTATAACACGTCTTGCGGCATTCGTCTCTGCGCTTATAGTAGTGTTGTGCGCATCTTTTACCAGATGCACTGTATAGTTTATTTTTACATCTCATAAAGAATTTTTTGACAAAAAATCATGTAGCAGGGTAAACTTAATTATAACCTAATCAAACTAGTTTGAGTATTGCTATCATTTTTCAGAAATTTGGTAAGCGCTTGAGTTGACTTTGGGACATTTGGATGTTTCAGAAGGTGTTTCATTAAATTCGACGTATTTCCACAATACTTTACTTCCACTGAACCCAATTTACATTTAGCCAATGTACTATCGACCTTAGTGAAGCATATCCATCCTTTACTTCTGGGAGGTGCCATGACTAGAATATATTTACAACTTTAAAAAAAAAAAAATTATTATTTTATACATTTTTCGTAGTATAAACTATGTCTATGAATACCTTACTGCAGCTATCAACGATGTAATTCTCTTAAACGTAGCAGATATCACAATATTTCACAAGTCACACATTTAATCAATTCTCACTAGCACAACTGCACTAGCACAACTATTTAAAAAACGTATTGTTTACGTTAATGGACGACTGACGAATGACAAATGACGGAGTGCGGACTTCTTGAAATCGTGAATAGTAATTTAAATAAACTGAGTGAATAGTGATTGAGTATTCGAGTGATAGTGATTAGTGAATAGTGAACCGTTGTCTGTTGTCCGTTGTTACTTTAGAACTTGTTTCCAAGATTTAATTTGTTAACGTACGGTAGTAACCGTGATAAGTGATAACCACTGTTCGCAGCTTGAACCATGGATTCGGTATTTCGGAGTGATAATTTGATATTATCAATAAAATTAAAAAATTCGATTCGATACCTTATATTTATATCGATATGAGTAAAATATCGAATCAAAAGTATCGATACAAAAAATACTTGTATCGAAAGAAATGTGTCGATATTTACTCATATCGATAGAATCGCAACGTCCCTAGCTGTAACTTCCAAAATAATCATTTCCGAAAAATAATTTTTATACCATCGTTTTAAACTCGTCGAAATACATATGTTTCCGAAAAAAAATCGAAAAATTCGCGTGGGCGCTAAACTAGAATTATGCCGATATTGCTAATGTTCATTATCTGTGAAATTACAGTTTTTTTCAAATATATTGATTTTGTTGAAAACTGAATTAAATTGAAAATAATATGTAAAACTATTAATTATTAATATTAACAGTTTACACGTAAGTTTGTCAAATGTACTTTTGGTTGTTTAGAAAATGGGTAATATAGGTATATAATATCTAAATATTAAAGAAAAAAAGTATAAGTCAAGTCGAGACGATCGGTTTTGTAATTAATAGTTGGTTGGTGCACCAACGGAGGGACATCTCATGAACTAGGCTGACCCAAAATACTAAAATTCTTGATACGCAACTAAGTTTAATTGTAATTAAAAAAAAAAATACACCAAATAGGAAAAGAAAATTAACTACTTGTGAGGCATACATAAGGTGACCATACGTCCCGCTTTGGGCGGGACCACGGTTATCTACTCAGGTTGGAAATCGGCGTATAATTCTCCATAGCGAGTTTTGACCCGCGTGGCGTGCGTGCGAATTAACAGCGCTGCCTGTCACGGGACTATTGATTAGAGAATAAGTGATTACAAACAGTTGTTGATGTAATGATTTTTTTGTATTCGTATTAGTAACATTGTTTTCATGTATTCATTACTAATTGTCTATTAAATATTGTTAAAACTTTGTACAATTGTTCATTATAGTGTATATCTAGTTATTTAATACTTCATATAATCTAATATTATCTACAATGAGAAAGTGCTGCATTGTTAATTGCACATCGGGCTACAAGAGCAATAAAGAAACAGTTTTTAAATTTTCTGCTCCAAAAGATTTAAATGTACGAAATAAATGGGCAAGGGCTATTCCACGACAGGATTACGTTGTCAATGACAACACATACGTGTGTGAAAAACATTTCAATGAAGATGATATTATTCGATTTTGGCAATCTGGTAGTGAATCTACATTACTTGTTAAGGTAAGTAATTTTGTACTAAAAATTAATAATACCTACGTTTTCTTTTAAGATAAAAATTTGAATTCAAAATGCTCAATTTAATATTTTTCAGTAATGATAATAATGTTTATCACTAACATTTAGGTAAAGGTATTATATCAGTATTAGAAAGATTATAGTTAAATATAATATAGTTTAATTTACCTATCATAAATATGTAAGTAATTTGTTACTTAATTTGTTTTTAGATTCCATACAAGAAACCTAAGCTTAGAGAAAATGCCATTCCCTCAATTTTTCCTGGACCTGCATACCTATCTAAGCGAATTACAAAAAGAAAACCACCAACTGAACGACAGAGTCCATTAAATAATAAAAAGAAATTAAAATGAATTACGATGAAGACACTGATAATATATTTGATGATTTACCTACAAAAACTGAAAATTTATATGACAAAATAAATATTTTGGCTACTGATGGTACTTTGCAGACTTATTGCTCCTGGTCCAATACTACTGTAAAGACCGGGAATACAATTCCCAATTTAAATTTTTCAGTTTTCTGCATGGGAGATCATTTTTCTGTTATTGAAAAATCAATAAGTGTTGCAGAAACTGGTGATGTCACTTTTGGAATTCTTGGTAAGAAGAGTGATTTACAACAGCTTAATATTACTCCAGCCAAAACTATAGATGATTTTGTAAATAACATCAAACAATTTGAAGATATAAATGTGTGCCATGGAGGACCATCAGTGAACAATTTCCTAAAGCTCCTACTTCATTATGTGTAGTTAATACTCTCGGAGAACTTCAACATTTGAACTGCAATATCATTTTAAACAAAAACAGTACAAGTTGTATAAGATGTCAAAAACTTGGAAATATTTTAAGAATGCGTGAAAAAAGAAAACAGTACAATGATCAACAATTACTTTTAAATTAAATTAAATTAAATTATTCAAATAAAGGTATTGAAATTTTTTAGTTGAGTAATTTAATGTATTTTGTTTGTATTTTGATCCTCAATCCTTGTTTAGCCACTACAGAAAAAAAATTAAAATCAATTAATAGTAAAATCAATACTATAATATTGTAATTTGTAATGTTCATTATACCTCAACAGTTAACAGTCACCACTACTGTTATGAATAACTGTATAAAACAACATTTTTACTGGGCGATTGCCCCACTAACTCTCCCAAAATTGTATTACGCAATAACTTTGTTCACAATCAATATTTAGATTTTTACATGACGAAAAGTTTTACATTTTGTAAATTCCCGTCTATAACAATATAATATAATTATTATTATGGTCCTGTGACTACTAGCGCTACTAGTTCATCAAAACACCGTTTTGGGGTCACAATTTTTATCTCGTCTTCCAACCTGAGTAGATAACCGTGGGCGGGACAGTCCCGCTTTTGAGCTAAGTGTCCCGCTGTCCCCAAAGAACTTAAAAATGTCCCGCTTTAAGAAAAGTCGACTTGTGCCATTAAAAAATTATTTTCTGAGCATTTATAAATGCCCGAATAAACTGAAAAATTTTTTTGAAAATCCCAGCTCTGAATGATGGTTGTATTTTATGTACGCACAATCAGCTACATTTCATCAAGCTGTATTAAAGATCGAGGGCCAAACGTGTCTGCAATAGATGCCGCAAATGAAATTAATCAACTTCAAAATAATTTAGATCAAAAACAAAATTCATGCTATCTTCCCCACGCCACCCGTAATATAATGGTAAAATTACAAGAAACTGGTGATATAAATGAAGAAAACGTAAAAACTGCAGCGTCTAATTTTTATAAAACAAGCAAAGAATATTTGGAGCAGTGGAGTCAGTTCAACGAAGAAGTAAAAAAATTTGAATTTGCAAATCTGAGAAAGGTTCCCTCGTGGGAAGATGTACAAAAAGTGATGGACTTACTTATTGAACAGAAATTTATTAGTAGCAGTCAAGACACAGGAGTGTTTGACGAGTTTTCACTAATTTCTAAGTATATAACAGCTCAAAAAATATACGACTGGAACACCGGGAATATACCTACTGAAAATCGTTGGGTGGAAGTATTTACGCACTTTAATGCTAATGATCTCTCACACGTGAATTTTTCTATAATTATTGAATACATTTTGTGTCTGCCAGGCAGTAACGCTCCAGTTGAAAGAGTGTTCTCTCTTATGAATAAAATATGGAGCAGCGAAAAAAGTCAGTTGGGAGTCGGTGTATTAAAAGCCATTCTTATCACAAAGGGTAATATCAACAAATCATGTCAAGAGTTCCATTCTTACATAAAAACCAAACAGGCTATTTTGAAGCAGATTTGTGGATCCGACAAATATAAATCAGCCAAATAATATACTCTATTATTTATTTTTACATTATTATTTATTATTATTATTAATATATTAGTTCCGTTTTGCTGTTGCCATTTTTTATACAAATACTTTATGTTTCTTTTTCCAATAAAAAAATTGTTATTTTTCGCAAAATGATGTGGTTTTCTTATTAAAATGTACAGGTGTCCCGCTTTGAAGAAAAAAAAATATGGTCACGTTAGGCATACACGACTCAGTACAAGTATAGTAAATTAAATTTCATACTTTCCACTTACTTTTTTCACAATTATCTGTAATTATGACCATGTCTTTAAAATGCTTCGACAACATTAGGAGAAATTGCTGGATTTCGTCCTTTCATATTGGACAAAATATGCACATCACACAGATAAGTTAAATTAAAAACGTAATTGCAAGAAAACAATTGTATATTCTTGTATTCACTGAACGTCTGAATATGACTATTAAGAAAAATAAATCGCATGTGACAGTTCCTAATAACTATTTATACAAAATTCGAATAAAATGACTGATAACGATACGATTGTGTATATTTCAATCTCGATTGAAGATATGCAGGTTGCACATCGCCCTATAATAAATGGCTTTCGGATTGATTTACAAAGTGACTAAATAACGGCTGTTACTAATTAACTACTAGCGCTTGATGTCAACACTCAACCATATGTGTCATTTAGTATTTTTAGTGTTACATTTAGAACAAATTTTACACCTATTTATCTACAATCGGTTAATTTGTAATACTGCCGCTTGGAGCGCTACTTCTTAATTATTGGTAGTCAATTCCACGAACATATAATAGTAAGGACTGGCTACTGCTCGACCAGTGTGATTCGCTTATTGTCGCCATTTCAATAATAATCCGCTAGGGTCGCTACTATGCGTTCGCCCTACTGCCGCCAATGTAGAAGCGTAATAATTAGCGTATACAAACAAGTAATGCTTCAAATTTACCAACTTAAAGTTGATCTGCAATTAATTATACCATGTTATACAATATATTATAGTATAAAATATAATATATTTTCATTTTTCATCGATTAAAAATAAAATAGGAGTTATTATTATAATTAATAATGATTGAAATTCGAGAATAGGATTATGCAAACATTTTCATGATTATTGTCATACTTTTATTTTTTATTTTTAATAATAATAATTTATTATCGAAACAACGAAATGACATACAGTGTAACAATTTAATATATTTATTTTATAAATCATAATATTGAATACATCAGTAGTCTGATGCAGTTATTTTGTTAAGGTTAAGTAGTTATGATTTATAATATTTATTACAAATTTTCATTATAGGTAGGTTCATCAGAAAATATAGTTTAACATATTGCAATTATAATATATTGTACCTAATGCATACTTGTTAAAACTAAATGAAATGAAAAATTAAAAAAACAATTCTTTCTTAAATATAAAAAAGCTGTCTATATTTTTAGTATATAGCAAAATCAAAACATACAACTAACATTGAACATTTCAATACAGGAAATTGTATCCCACTGGAAAATATAGATATTTTGCATTATTCAAGTTCTGACCTAATACAAACTATCAATAGTAACACATTTAACCATAACATTGATCCAATTTCTCCGGAAGAAAATGTCAAAGAAGTTGATTTGTATATAAATGGCCATGATTATATGTCATTCAAATATGTATACATCTAATTTCACGAAAGAAGTTACTATTTATATTGCTGGGTTTGTTGTACACAAGTTATCTTCAACAATAAGTTGTGAAACTTGTGTATATGCATTGTGTTCTAACAATAAAGAAGAACTATTCAACTCCCTTATTCATCTCAAAAATAGAGGAGATGATAGAGGAGGTCTGATTTATCCAAGCGACGATGTGATAATTATTTCTTTACAAACTGAAAAAACTCTTAAATCATATAACTTCAAAAATAAAAAAATCAACTCATTATTTCTTCAATCTAAAGTTCTTTATCACTTTTATAACTCAAAAATATTCAATTCATTAAAATCCCATAGCTTAGAAAGCAATAGTCCTTTATCTGACCATGTAACTCTCTTGATAAAATCGATTTCATCAACATGCATTAAAATTAAAATAAATTATAATTTAAAAGCTCATAACGAAACTCCATCTCTCAGAATATGGTACAATAAATTGACCCTTTTTAGAGGACGGTATTTTTTTTTTACTATTTAATTGTATTTTATATTATTTTACTTTTATAATTTTAAATAATATGTACTATTATGATATTTTTTTTATTTATGCTTAAAATTGGTTATGCATTAAAAATGTAAATAATTTGTTTTTATGTTATGTATTTTCAATGTATATGTTACGGGCAAAGTAGGAAATCCGGGCATTGTATAACAATGCCCGGGCACTGTGCATATTGACCGGGCATTGTACTAGATTGCCCGGGCAAAGTGTACCCTGTCCAGATTCAAGTGGGCAAAGTGAATTATACAGTGCGCCTGTGCGCTGTACACTTTTATATCAAATTGCATTTACGGAATAATATCACTACAAAACTATAATTATATATTTTATTCGTACACAACAACGCGACAGCTGCGATAGTACGAACCAAACCGTAATCTAAAAGTGAAAGTGATCACACAATATTGTAGATAATATTTCATAATCGAATCGTTAAATTCCTATTCGATATTTTCTAATGATTATTGTCACGACGGCGACGTCGCGTAGTCTGACATTGTAGTGTAGGTAGTGCAGTAGCGTGTAGTGTTATTTTTTCTTTTGGTCAATGTTTTTAACTATTTTCTGAGTATTTGTGTACTATTTTCTAACATAAAATGGAAAAAAAGTTTAATGAGAAGTTTAACAATTTATTATTAAACAAAAATGCAAATGCTATATTTTTAAATAAAGTAAAATACGATGAATTAATTTTAAAAGTAAATAATGTGAAAACTAAAACCACAAAAAAGACTGCAGATGATTACAAATTAATAAAAAAATACGATGTTGTAAATATATCAGGGATTGGAAAGTTAGTAGTTCCAGTATCCAAAGGTAATTTAATTAAGAATTATGTTTACAACGAACAATTGTTTCAAGTTCTTAATGAAACACATACATCTGTGGGACATGGAGGTAGAAACCGTATGGAGTATGAATTGAACTTGAAATATAAAAAATAACAAGGGCGACTATAATGATATTTTTAAATTTATGTGACCACTGTCAAAAAAAGGGCAGTATAATTAAAAAAGGTTTAGTTGTAAAACCTATACATTCATCAGAATTGAACTCTCGCTGTCAAGTGGATTTAATAGACATGCAAGCTCAGGCTGATGGCGATTACAAGTTTATAATGGTCTATCAAGATCACATTACGAAGTTCGTAATTCTTAGACAGTTAACTCATAAACGGGCTGAAGAAGTAGCCTACGTGTTAATTGATATTTTTACAACTTTTGGAGCCCCGGAAATTTTTCAAAGTGATAATGGAAGGGAATTCGCCAATAAAGTTATTATTGAGTTGTGTAGTATGTGGGAAGAACTTAAGATTGTCCACAGAAAGCCTAGACACTCACAAAGTCAAGGGTCTGTTGAAAGGGCCAACCAAGATATTCAAAATATTCTCGCAACATAGTTAGCCGATAATAATTCCAGAAAGTGGAGCGAAGGTCTTAAATTTGTTCAATTTATGAAGAATTGTAGTTTTCACCATGGTACAAAACGTTTGCCTACGAAGCTATGTTCGGAACACATGCTAAAGTTGGCCTAAAATCAACCCAAATTCCAACCGATTTAATTTCTACTTTAAAATCGGAGGAAGATTTAAAAAAAGCTCTAGGTTGTGGAATTAATATCGAAAACATAAACGAGAAGCACGAAAAAAGTGATGGAAGTGATAAGAACAGTGCAAAACAACTTTTTTCTAATGAAGATGAAAACGATCAAATAAAATTGAGAATAGAATCAATTTCTTCAAATCGATCGAATGCTGCTGAAAATCTTAAAGTACAAGCTAACAAAATGAAGAGTTTATCGGAAGAACGTTTTTTTCCAGGAAAAGAAGGAGAAAATGTTAAAATAAAAATTTCTGATGTGGATCGAGCAAGATGTGATCTTCGGTGTATTCTGGGAGTTATACTTTCTGGTAATTAATCTTAAAATTATAAAATAATTTTTATATTAATAATTTTTATTTATAGTAAACGATAACTTGTATGAAATTGGAACAAAAGAGGGCAGACTACATCAACTATACAGTCGGAATCAATTCACAATATGCAATGAGGTGTTTATCCAGGCTGATGATGTACCACCAGTACAAATTTCATTAAGAGAAGTGGCAAGAAAATCTTCTGATTTGGGTGGCCAAGGGTACGATAGGTGTACTTGCAATACATTGTGTAAGACCAACCGGTGTAAATGTAAAAGATCTGGTCGTCTTTGCAACTCGAAGTGTCATAATAGTGGTGTATGTGGTAATAAATAAAGCAAATAAATAATAATGGTAATTTAATAATAAATAAATTAAATATTAAAGCTGTGCAACTTTATTTATTTTTAATATCTTTATTTTTAATTTTTTATATAATATTCAATATTTAATCTACTGTGCCCAAATCTAACAGGCACTGTATACAAGGCCTGGGCAACGTTAACTTATTCCGACTTTGCCCTTAAAAATCGGGCATTGTGCACAGTGCACGGTCATTGTGCACAATGCCCGACTTTCTACTTTGCCCGTAACATATACAATAAACTTAACCTACCTATATTATATGTATATATAATATATATTTAAAAATTTAAAATAAAAAAATACAATTTTTTCTTTAGATGAATGGTGTACAATAGGTGAGCCCCATAATAAAAGATTTTTATTGTTCGACGACGATGTGAATATGGAAGACCGTTGGTAATTTTTGCTAAAGATGAAGGTCTTCAACATCTATCTAATAGTTCAACTTGGTATATGGATGGAAATTTTGGATTGGCCCCAAAAGAATTCCTTCAAATGTATGTGATAAGAGTCAATGTACAAAAAACCTTTTTAACGTCCATATTCTGTTTGTTAGAAAGTAAGAGTCAGAAAAAATATGAAAAAATGTTGACCAACATAGAAAAATATTCTGAACGACAGTTATATCCAGATCCAACAAGCTTTCATGTCGATTTCAAAAAATCTGTGATAAACGCAATGAAATCTGTGTTAGGAGATCATGTGTGTATTAATGGTTGTTTTTATCATCTGATATAAAGTACGCATAGGATGATACAAAAGCTGGGCCTAGAACAAATGAAAGTTTTAGTGAGTTTTGTAGAAAACTGGATGGGTTGGCATTTTTACCTTTAGAAATGGTTAAAGATGACATGTTGAATACTTTGACAAGACTTACGTTAATGGATCTTATAGACAGATAGGTGTTCGAGGAGACACTAATTTACGTTTAAGAAATTGCCCACCTCTTTTTCCTCCTGAACAATGGAATACTCATAATTTGTCGTTAGCAGATAGTGATCGTACAAATAACCAAACCGAAGGTTGGAATAACCGTTTTTCTAGATTGGTCGGCCACAAGCATCCAATTATTTGGGTGTTAATAACTAAAATGAGGTTAGAAATTGCTTCAGAGGAAACCAAGTTGGCACAGCAAACTCTAGGATTATTAAGTGACAGAAGAAAATTACCACAATATGATAAAAGCCAAAAAATATTGAAAAATCTCTGTTTGGAAATCAAAGAAGAAAAGAAAAGCTTACCAGAATTTTTAACAGCAGTAGCACACACAATACGTTTTTATTGTTTTTTTTTAAAATTTTTTATTTGACTATTACCTTTATGTTTTTGTGTATTATTATAACTTGACTTTTGCATACATAATTTTTAACTGCAGTAGCACTACTTTGCATACTACTAGCATATTTTTGTATATAAACTTTGTACTATCTTACTATTTTATAACTAAAAACGTTTTAATGTTTAATAAATAATAACATAACCTTAGCTGTGTATCAACAATTTTATATTGTGTGCACGATTTAAGATAGTATATTATACAGTATGACCAACCATGTTAAACATTTAAAAAAAAAATTATTTAAAAATTATTAATTTATAATTATAAAATTTGACTTTATTTCAGTGACTTATTTTTTACGTGGATTTTTTTTCCGTGGCTTTTTTCTGACCATCGAATAAACGTACATTAAGAACTCCGAAAATTGATTGCAAGTAAGTGTTCATGTATGTGAAGTTGTTGACGTTTGTTTAAATCGGTGTATGTTACTAAATTTATACGGTGTTGTTATACTAAATTTTCAAAACTATTCAAATATGAAGAAAACAAAAACCGGTAACACAATGCACACCCGAGTCAAAAGTTGTTTGTAAATGCTAGTATGAATGTAAAAAATTGACTGTGAATCGTATCGTTATGACTCAGACAGAAATGCGAGACTCTGTTATATTACACGTGATGCCATTCCCAAGAGAAGAATCGCATTATACTCGTAATAAAAACAATAAAGAATTTCTTAGCCCAGATCTTAATATATCGAGATTGCATAAGGCATATAAAATTCAGAACCCTGATTCAAATGTTTCACTTCAATTTTATCGCCGTACATTTCTAAAGTATTTTCCAACCTTATCTTTCCGGCGACCGCGAACAGATACTTGTATGACGTGCGACCGGTTGCACATGATAGGAAAGGATATAAGGATTGTTGGTTTAAATGCTATTAAAGAGAAAGAATTACATCTGCGAAAAGCGGATAAAGCGAAAACCATGATGTATTATAATATGAAAGACGCTCAAGAGCCTAATAGCGATATGTTAGTACTTTGTATGGATTTAGAAAAGGTTCTGTTTGTACCTAGATTAACGCACTGCCAGATGTATTATAGCCGACAACTTTCAGTGTACAATCTGTATTTACACGTCGGTGATACAAGAAAAAGCTATATGTGTGTTCGGCATGAAGGTGTCGTTAGTCGTGGAGCCAATGAAATTTGTTCGAGTTTTTTAAAAGTGGTCACATCTCGAATAACAACAAAGAAAAATATTCAAATGTGGTGTGACAACTGCGCTGGACAAAATAAAAACAAAATGTTGGTTTTTGTAATGTTCTATCTCGTAGCTACTGGCTGGTTTGAAAGTATCGAGTGTTTATTTTTGGTCTCTGGGCATAGCTTCATGCCCTGTGACCAAGATTTCGCTATGATCGAAAAAAGAAAAAAGAGGGTATCTTCCATGGTCCCCTCAGAATTAAAAGAGATGATCGAAGCATCAAAATTAAACAATCCATTCGAAGTTGTCGACATTGAAGATGGAGATATTGTAGATTTAAACCTAACGGCAAATCGATTTCTGAATACTACAAAAATGGGTAGGTGTAAGTAATGTAACTGGGATGAAGGTGACAATGCAGTCGCTGCTTAAAGGCTGTGTAGCGCACATACGGAGAAATAGAAACATGGGAAGAAATAAAAGTTGCCAAACGTGGCAAAAACTTAATGACTATCCCCTAAGTATGGCCAAAAGTGAAAACTGGCCGCATCATAGACGAGAAAAAAACAAACGATCTACTAAAGATGTTAGACTATTTGGAACCGAAGTACCGCGAATTTTATACACAACTATGTAGCCAACAATAAAAACACAAAAATATAATTATCATATAATTATATATTATTTTTTGTTGTAATTTGAAATAAAAAATAAAATTTACAAAAGAAAATAATGACGAAAAATCTTATGGACACTTTTCTCAAAAACCGGATATGTCGGAGGAAGATTTTAATAATGAAAAAGAAAGAATTTTAAAATACCTAGAATAAATAGCTGCTAATCGGGATGAAATAGAAAGAGAAACAGTTGAACAAAGTCAATCTAGAAAATGGTTAGAACCGAGAAGATATTTATTAACAGCATCCAACTTTGGACAAGTAATATCGTCTAGGCCGGATACAGGCTGTGAAGGAATTTTAAAAAGCATGTTGTATTCACCAGATCTTGACACTAGAGCGATGGAATACGGACGAGAACACGAACAGGACGCGAAAAAAGATTTAGAATTAGCATTAGGTATTGAAATAAAGGAGTGTGGTTTATACATTGATTCCAATAATGTATTCCTGGGAGCAACCCCTGATGGATTAATTGGACATGATACTTTGGTAGAAGTTAAATGTCCCTTTTCGGCAGCTGATATGGACCCAGAAGAAGCAATATTGAATAAAAAAATTACATTTTGGAAAATAAACAAAAAAAAAAAGAAATAACTGGGATTAATACAAATCATAAATATTACTATCAAGTACAAGGACAGCTGCAAATAACTTGAAGGAAATATGGAATTATTGTGTTTTGGACTAAAAAAGGCATAATATTTGAAAAAATTGAAAGGGACGACAATTTGTGGAATACAAAAATATTTCCCAAATTCAAACAATTTTATTTCAATTGTTTGTTACCAGAGTTAGTTGATCCTAGGCATCCTAGATCTATGCCAATTCGTAATCCTAATTACATTATAAAAGCAAAACAAATAAAAATGAATAAAAAATAGTTGCTTATTTAATTATTTTTACTTTAAATTAAATCCGATTTTAAGTTAACTACAATATTATAATATATACCAATACCTACTTTATTCAAAAATATAATCCTTTTTAATTAACTTAGATGCAGTTGTGTTAGGTTGGTATATTTATGTATATTACATTTTTATATTATGTGTAGGTATTATTAGTTTTAGAATTACTTAAAATATATTGAAAAATAATTACATCAAGTACCTACACATCTTTTATTATATAGTCTTTTTTTTAATATGAAGTATATTATATTATGTTACATAATCATATATTATTTTATAAGTATTTATGGTATTTATGTGATCGACATGGTAAAGTTTTGAAACAAACATTATACTTATTTTAGATTTATATGACTTGTATTTTTTTTATAACATAATTATATAATGTACCCAACTGCGCGGCGTGGTAAATTACACATAACAACGATAACCAATTGGTGACAATAGTATCAACATTTTAAAAAAGCGGGTAGGTAAGTGGATGTTGCTCTGCTGGACCGTAGGTTACTAAATAGGGGGTAATCTCAACAATTGATGAAATTTTCAAACGTCTGTGATTATTTCTTTTTAAATTACATCGAAATAAGAAATTCATGCCTGGAAAAAACGAGGGAACATTTAATGTTTAATTTCAAAATGTTTCAAAATGTTTATAAAATTTAGTTTCGACTTTCCGGTAAGCTTTTTTTTATTGAAAAAGGTAGAAAAACTTATGGAGAATCTCTTGTTAAATTTTCAAATCTTAGATACTAACCAAGAATTTTTTATGAATTTCTAGATAAAAAAAACTGCGAAATTTCGTGATTTGTATGTATTTTTTTCAAATTTCAAACTTTAGACACTTATAAAAAAAACAATCAAATATTTACGCTCAACTTTTTTTTCAATTTTCACTTAAAACAAGTTATGAAGAATCTTGTATTAAATTTTTAAGTTTTTTGACTGAGCGAAAAAAATGTTATCGACGTTAGCAAAAAAAAAATTAAAAACTATCATCGCTCTGCTCAGAATCTAATACATAAACGTAGCCATTCAAATATTGGGATTACAGTTTACATGTACCTGTTAATTAATAAACGATAATATTAATAATAAGTATAGACCTATTAACTTCATAGGTATAGTTGGGAAAAGGCGAAGAAATAATTGGTAGGTTGACTAGTGATTTATTAAAAATAAATTATCGTTTCATAATATTATAATGGGTATTTGTAACAATAATATAATTTGTATGATAGTACGATAGCTTCCATATTGTTGAGCGTAATTAATATCGTAATATTATTTACGTGGTATACATCATAAATTGAAAACGCAAGTATGCAGTATTATAAACTAGTACGGTCAAACATGTGTAGAATACGTGTAATGACTGTAATGTAAAAGTAATATAAACGACAATAAGGTTGCCGATTGTAGAATGACGCGCCGCTCCAGTAGGAAGTAATTATTAGGAACTGCTTGCCAACCGCGACAGTGCCAGCGATTTCGTTTTAAGAATGGGGGGTCGTCGAACAGCAAACAACGCCATCTCTGGAGCGTTATTTTCTTTTAAACGTCGATGTTGAATCCCCTTAATAACACTAATAAAAAAGTACCTATATGGTTAAAAATCTTTAAATCATTTATTGTATTATTCAAATAAATAGTTAAATATAATAAAGTATAAACTATCATATTAAATTAACAACATCATAATTTATAATATTATTAATAACTGTCCATTAACTGGATTCTATCAAAATTGCCGCGGACTGAGAACAAAACTTTCAACTTTTAAACGTAATGTATCTGCTTTAAATTATTCTTTCATTATCCTTACTGAAACTTGGTTGTCAGAAAATTTTCTTAATTGTGAACTTGGATTACTTAATTATAATGTATATAGATATGATCGCTGTAACTTAACTAGTTTATGTACCAGAGGTGGTGGTGTCCTTATTGGTATACGAAAAGACATACGATCTAGTCTTATAAGTATTTCAAACATGAGTGTTGAGCAAATTTACGTACGTTGCACAATTGGTCTGAATTCTTTTGTGATTGGAGGTGTATATATACCTCCTAATTCTCTTTCTAATATCTATCACATCCATTCCCAGACCATTGAATCTTTGGTTCAAAATTACCCTTTTTATAAGTTCATCATTTGCGGTGATTATAATTCACCTGAAATTTTATGGGACAATGATGATTGTGGTCTTAATTACTCATTCACTTCTAGTAGTCGTGCAGCTTGTATACCCGGAACGTTTGCTTCTAATGGTTTTTTCCAAAATAATAAAAATTTGAATAGTCATGGATCAATCCTTGATCTAATTTTTTGTAATATTCATTTCTTAGTTGATAAATCCCTGGAACCAGTAGTCCCTATTGACCCATACCACCCTCCGTTGAACTTAACTCTTCCTTATTCTGATCATACAAATTCTTTAGATAACCATCACTCTTTTTATAATTTTCGTAAAACTAATTACTCTAACGTAACCTCGTTTATTGGAAGTTATGATTGGAATACTACTCTATCTACCCTCGATCTTGAGACAGCTTTCAATACCTTATTCGATGCCTTGCATTTAAGTATTTTAAATTTTGTACCCAAAAGTAACTTTTGGAGTACTACCTACCCACCATGGTTTAATTCAGAATTAAAACATATCAACATACAGAAGAAAAAAGCACATGTTGAGTATAAATCTAATCCTAATGGTCAAAACTATAATAATTTTTCGTTGCTACGTGCTCGTTTCAAATACATGTCCAAAAAGTGTTTTAATGAATATAACAAACATGTAGAATCTTCATTAACAAATAACCCTAGTGACTTTTGGAAATATGTTAAAAAAAATCGTGCAAGTAATGGTATGCCTATGGAAATTTCTCACAATGGTTATGTTTCGTCTAATAAAACTGAAATTGCTGATATGTTTGCTGATATGTTTTCTTCGGTGTACACAACGAATAATATTAATACTACAAACGATCTACCAAATATTTCAAAATTTGACTTGCCCAATAATGTTTATTTTTCTTTGGATGATGTTCTTAATGGTCTGTCAGCTCTCAAAGGTAATTGGTCAGTGGGTCCTGATGGAATTTGTGGTGAATTTTTATATCAAATAAGGTCAATCATTGCATTTCCACTATTCTCTCTTTTTCGGCGTTCACTGGATGAAGGTATTTTTCCCTCAATATTGAAGTTGAGTAATGTTACACCGATACCGAAATCAGGTAATTTATCTTGTGCTTTGAATTATAGACCGATTTCAATACAGTCACATATCTCAAAACTATTTGAATCTCTAACTTTAAAATACATTCAACCAAAGGTTAATGGAATTTTGATGGAAGAGCAACATGGTTTCCGCCCAGGTCGTTCTACACTTACATGTAATCTTGTTTTTACCTCATTGGTTTATGATGCCTTTAAAAACCATAGTCAGGTTGATGTCATTTATACTGACTTTAAAAAGGCATTTGATTCAGTGAATCATGAACTATTAATCCGTGTGCTTAGAGATTCAGGATTTGGTGAACCTCTCATAACTTGGTTCTCTTCTTATCTCTCTGATAGATATTTTGTAGTAAAAGTATTTGGTACTACTTCTAAGGTATTGAAAGCTTCTTCAGGGGTTCCGCAAGGTGGTCATCTTTCCCCAATTCTCTTTTCTTTATTTGTAAATAGTGCTAACAGAGTTTTAAATCATTGTAAACTACTTTGTTTTGCTGATGATATGAAGCTAATTATGCAAATAAATTCTCCTGATGATTGCCTTATACTTCAAGCTGATTTAAACAATTTTTACAAATGGTCACAAGAACTAGGCTTAACTTTGAATCTTGATAAGTGTCATATTATGTCATTCACTAGAAAACATGTTGTAATTAATTGGTCCTACAGTCTAAATAATTCGGTAATCTCCCGTGTTGAAATGATAGTTGACTTAGGTTTTAAGTTCAACAGTTCTCTTGATCCGGGACCGCATATCACTATGATATGCTGTAAAGCTTACAAAATGCTTGGGTTCTTAAAGAGATTGGCTCACGACTTTAAGCTAGGACTATCTTTAAAAATTCTTTTTTGTTCACTTGTCCGTCCAATTTTAGAGTATGGTGCTGTTCTTTGGAATCCACAAACTGCAGGCCACTCTCGACAACTTGAAATGGTACAAAGAAAATTCCTTAGTTTTGCTGGGTTTATTCTAAATATACATCATCAGCCTCATGATTACGTCCCTGTTTCCGAATTCCTCAATATTGACACCCTTTCTAATCGGAGAATTACTCTAGGGTTTAAGTTTCTAAATGGATTGATATCAGGTAACATAGATTCGCCTTACCTATTAAGCCTAATTAATTTTAGAGTACCTCAACGTAATTCTCGAAATAGTGCTCCTTTCTACGTTCCTTCTTACACCTCCAATTATTTAGCGAACGAACCTATCACAAGAATTATGTCTCTTGCCAATGCTGACGCCTCCCGCCTCTGTTAATGCTTATACCATACCTATGTATATCTTATTAGTTGTAAATCTGTATATATCAAACTTGTTTTTCAAAAGAGCTAGACCCGTAAATATAAATAAATAAATAAATAAATAAATAAATAAATAACAAAATTAAAATCAGAACATCCTTATTCCTTGTTCGAATCACTGTTTGGTACCTAAGTACATTTAATAAATAGTTGCAATACCTATTACAATTATTAAATTATTTATATCAAATTATAATTATAGCCTATAGGTAAAATAAATATAGTTTTACAATTATATCAGGCACACTTTGATAATGGTACAATTGAATCTTTAGTTGAGTTTAAACATTTTTCCGAAGATAAAAGTGATGTATTTTTCAATGTCTTTATATTGTCTGGAAGTCTTTTTTGAAGTTCAGTGACAAGGTTTATTATAAAATTGATCACTACACCACGGATTATCTTTTCAACATCTGGCTTAATTTTAAGTGTTCTACATTTTTCTTCAAACTCGTATCCAAGGTGTGGGTGAGGATGTAAATAATTTTGTATGTTAACTTCTAATAAATTTGCTCTACATTCTGTTGTGACAACTTTACGAGCTAGCCCTTCAATAAATAAAACAAGATCATCTAATAATTTGGTTCGGTCTGCGGTATTTGATTGAAATAATTTATTTATATGCTGTGCTTCAGATAAAATTGGCTTAAGGAGAATAAAATACATCTGGTTATTTACATCACTGTACATATTATACAGTGTTTTTGCTTTATAACACTTTTCTGTTCTACCGGCTTCCTTAAAGTGTTCTTTTAAAGTCACCCATTGATCTAGATACATCAACTTCTATAGATAACCATCGTGTTGATGACACACAAACAATTTTCAAAGGATCAATTCCATTATTCAAACTATGATATAATGTTTTATAAGATAAAAAACACTCAAATTAGTCTAACATCCAACCCAACTAAATTCTGGAACTATATACGAAATAAAGGAAAATGCTTAGGCATCCCCGAAGAAATGCATATAGAAAATACACATGTTTCAGACCCTCAGATTTCGGCATTCTTCGCTTCGTATTTCTCTTCCGTTTATAAAGCACCTAATACAAAACCAATTTATCTAGATAACCTCTCGATAAATCAGTATTCTCATTTGCCTTCTAAAGTGTCTCTTTCACTGGACGATATCTCGGAAGGATTAAATAGCTTATCTAAATCTGATAGCAAAGTACCAGATGGGATAGCAGCACCTCTGCTTTTCCAATGTCGTGAAGCCTAAAAAACACTCCCTTACTAATATTATTTAATAAATCTCTCCAGCAAGGTATTTTCCCAGACATTTGGAAAATAAGCAAAATCACACCAATTTTTAAATCAGGAGACCCAACTGATATTACTAATTATCGTCCAATTTCGGGGTTACCTCTTATTGGTAAGGTACTCGAATTCTTAGTTCTAAAGACAATCGAAAGACAATTTAATGTGTCAATGATCAACACGGTTTTATAAAAGGTCGATCCACGGCCACTAATATGGTTGACTTTTCTACATGTCTTAGATGCATTTGAACTCCACCAACAAGTTGATGTCATATATACTGATTTTTCAAAAGCATTTGACACAGTCAATCATAAAACATTAATACTTATTTTGGATAAGTTGGGTGTGGGAAATCCATTATTATCATGGATTCAATCATACCTCGATGATAGATTTAAATTTGTTGATTTGCTGAATAATAAATCGGAGAACGTTAAGGCAACCTCTGGTGTACCCCAAGGTGGACACCTCTCACCGCTATTATTTAATATTTTTATTAACACTATATCAAAGATTATATCACCCTGTAGAATACTTCTATTTGCTGATGATGCAAAAATATTTTATAAAATACAAACTTCAGAAGACTGTATTGCACTGCAAGATTCTATATTCAAACTGGTTGACTGGTGTAATTTGGTTGGACTTTCCTTAAACTTCAATAAATGCAAGGTAATGACATTTTTCAGAACACATAGTTATATCAATTTTGATTACTTAATGTATAATGAATGCTTGCCCCAAGTAGACCAAGTAGAAGATTTAGGATTCACATTAGTACCATCCTTATCTTTTAGTATTCATGTTGAGCGTATCAATTGCAAAGCGCTACGTACACTGGGTTTTATTCGCCGGAATGCGTCAAACTTTGATCAAGCTAATTTCCTAGTAACATTATATACATCATTGGTGAGGTCAATTTTAGAATACGCCTCTGTTTTATGGTCCCCCTACACTCAGAAAGACATCCAAAGGATTGAAAGGGTTCAAAACCGATTTTTTGAGTTCGCTGGGTATGTTTTAAAAATTACTCACACTCCTCATGACTACTCATCAGTATCGAAATTTTTAAACTTATCTAACCTTGAAATCAGAAGAAATATGCTAGATATACGATTCTTAAATAATTTAGTTTTGGGGGAGACCGATGCAAGCAGTCTACTCGAAAGGGTTAAATTTCATATACCCAGAAACGGGTCCCGTAGTAAAATAATGTTTGAAATCAGTACTCGTAGAACAAATTATCTTTGCTATGACCATTGACCCTATCCAAAGAACTATGACTAAAATTAACTTAGACACAAGACTTTTGGAATTTTAGTCAAAAGTGATGAGTAAAATAAATCTTAACACGGACCACACAACGTTTTGTTCTTACTTAATAATAATAATATGTATATTAATTATATATATATTTTTTTTGATGTTTTATCAGTACTTAAGCTATATAATACTTATATTGTTTTTTTATTTATACAATTTGTTATCTAATACTTACCAATATTTATGTATTTGTCTCTGTTAATTAGGCGTTGAAATATATAAAATAAAATAAAATAAAATAAGATAACTGTCTACTGGTGGAAGGTGCAAACCAATTGTACGTTTCTACAAGTAAGTATTCTAAGTGATCTGGTAAGTTATTAGATACTGCTAGCTGTATTGAATGGCGCATACATCTTAGTAATATAAGATGTTTTACTTCATTTTTCAACAGTACACACACACCAGAATGTTGACCAACCATTACACTAGCGTTGTCGCAACCGATCCCACGCACATTCTGTATATTCAGTTCATATGCTAAAAGGCTTTGCTTTATCCCTTCAACCATACTGACAGCTGTACCACTGTCAAGTTCAATTACATTTAAAAAAGTTGAGACAATAGACTTTTTAAATTCAGAATAGTATATAATGCACACTCCAAGTTGTTTTTTTACACTTATATCAGTCGACTCATCCAATAAAAGACTATAAACACTTGTACCTATGTCTTCTTTTAAATTATTTTGAAAATATGGATATATAATGTTTTTGAGTATACCGGTGCATTTAGTACGATGCAACTGAACGTGATCTGCTACTTGATTGCCTTTAAAACATACCTTTATTAATTCAGATAAATGTCCAACCTATGAAATTGCACAGTGGCTGTTGACAAATAGTGAAAGATTTGCTTCTAGACTGGCAGTTTTAAGTTTAATATCATTTGAAATTGACTGAAAAGGCAATTTTACTTGTCGGGCACAGGAAAACGGTTCTGAAGATTTTAGATGTTTTTTTGTGTGAGCATGAGCAGTTAGATCAGCTAGCCTTGCTGACATGCTACTTTTACAAAACTTACATTTCACTAAAGTTTTATCTTCTACTTCTTCTATCCAATCTTTCAACAACGAATTGTTCTTCCATTCAGCTCGAAACTTTTGAGGGAATGGAACTTTACGATTCATATTAAATATTTTTTTTATACCTACTATTAAAAAGAAATAAAATAGTTTCACAAATTGACTTTCACGTAAAGTAGACCAAGTCTAACTAATAACTATATTTAGACATTAACCTACAAGGTATTTCAAATATGTATCTATATATCGAAAATATCGATATGTAGTTTCGATTATCGATTAATGTACACGTTAACGTATAAAGTATTGTGGGGACTGGCAACACTGGCTGACGGAATTTACGTCGACGCCACCATTTTTGACGTACACACACACACACTCTCTCAATATATATTTTTCACTCTCGTAAAGTCTCGTTTTTACTCTTTAAGTTTTCTATATTTTAATAAGTTGTATTTTAATAAAATAATAGTACGAAAGGTTGTAATGTAATTTTAACCCGTACACAATTTGTGACCTCGACAACGCAAAAATATGAACGAAAACGAGAATAACTCTGGAGCCGGTAATCAAATCATTCAAACGCCTGATACAACTATGGTGAACCGCGTAAGAATAAAACCACCACCTTTTGGAAGGGTGACCCAGCTATATGGTTTGCACAAATTGAAGCACAGTTCGCTTTAAGCGGCATCACACACGACACCACGAAATATTTCCACGTCATAAGCGCTGTGGACACTGGGATCTTGTCACAAGTGGCAGATATCATTCAAGTACCACCAGCAATGGAAAAGTATGTTACTCTAAAATCACGTCTAATTGATATTTACACAGATAGTAAAGAAAAGAAACTGAGAAAGTTATTTAGCGACGTCGAATTAGGTGATAGAAAACCATCGGTACTGCTTAACGAAATGCAACGTCTTAGAGGTAGTGCTTTGAGTGCTGATCTATTGAAGTCATTGTGGCTTCAATACCTCCCTATAACCACACAGTCTTGCCTCGCTGTTACAAAAGGATCATTTAATATCTCGTTATAAAAATGAACCAGAATTTTTCATACAAGTAAAATGTATTATCGCATTAGCTTTCGTTCCTATATCAGATCTTGATGATGCGCTAGATATTTTATCAGAAAGTTTACCCGAGGAACTTATAGATGTATTAGATTGGTTCGAAGACTTTTATACGAAAAATCGTAGTCGTGAAGGTCGACGGCCGAAGCGATTTCCTCCGGCAATGTGGAATTTATACGAACGTGTATTAACAAATAAAGACCGTACAAATAACCATGATGAAGCGGTGAATAGAAGATTAAACCAGTTAATGGCAAACAAACCTACAATTTGGACTTTCATAAGCACATTACGTAAAATACAAGCAGGAAGTATGAGCATTTGGTAACGGGTAATAGTCCACTGAAAAAGTTAAAAAAGTTTAGAGACACAGACATCGTATTTAACATCATTTTATCGTCACTGCTACTCACGTAACTGTATACGCGGTACCATCGATATTATTATTAATGCTTACGCGAGCAATCGCTCGCGTATTATAATTATGTTTATATTTACGCGGAGCGTCTATTATATGATTACGTACATATTAGAATGAGATTTAGATTGTTATTTGAGAAGATAGTCACAGCTCGCTACAATTGGTTGAATAATTTATCGATAAAAAGTTAAAAACCATGTTAATTTACCATGTGATATTGGACGATTAGAATACGATATCAAAAATCGGATTTCTTACGATTGTCTACGTCCGGTAGTTGGTTTTGCTGGTCAGGGATACGAGTCGGAGAGTCGGGCCCGACGATAGTATAGTCACGGCGATTCATGTGATTTTTGAGAGCTAGGCCGGCTTGGTTGGCCAATCTGCTGTTCCACGCTGGGTGTTTTGAGATGATGGTCGGAAACTCGGTGTCCAGCAGGAGGTCGATATCTGCCGTTTGGAGGATTGTTCCTGGTCTTTTGTAAACAGCTGAAAGCCTCGTCTCGTGGTGGTTGATTTGGATGTGGACAGTGGTGTTCTCGATAGAGTTTGTCGGAATGATAGTTTCGTAGTGGATGAGCCTGTTGAGCACTAGTATGGCCGTACCTCCAGCGCTCCTCTGACCTGGTGGTGCTGCTCGGTCTTTTCGGTAGGTGTGGTAGTTCGGGAGTTTGAAAGCAGTTTTCGGATTGAGGTGGGTTTCGTTTAGCAGGATGATGTGGATTTTGTGGTTTTGTACGAATTGGAGAAGCTCCATTTTTTTATTGCCAAGGCCCTGGCAATTCCAGTGTAGAATTTTTAGTTGCTCAGTCATTTTGGTTAATGAGCGAGACTATGGCTGAGATGGCCAGAAGGATGGTATCTTTGAAGTTCGATTAATGAGACCAGTCTTATGTGGGGGCATAGATTGATTATACCAACAAAATTCAGAAAGGAGTTGTTACAGGATTTGCACATTACTCATTTATGGATTGTCAAAATGAAATCTCTTACTAGATCTTATGTGTGATGGCCTAAAATTGATGATGATATTGAAAAAATAACAAAGGAATGTGAAAAATGTTTGGCATGCAGTGATAGTCCGCCTAGATCAGTTTTACATAGTTGGCCTTGGCCAGAAGGTCCTGCACAACGAGTACATTTGGACGTTTGGGAAATTTTGCCAAAGTCGAGGCATACGACACACGCTGAACTCAACTCGTCGCCCGCAGGAAAATGGACAGGTTGAGGCGGTTGAGAGCACGAATCGGAACATTGTGCCACTGTTAGGTATAATGACGACCGATCAAGCTCATTGGGACGAGCGAATTCCGGAGCTGGAGAGACACCTCAACTCCGCCGTAAATAAAACGATCACCCGTACACCCTTCGAGGCACTCCACGGATATCGACCTACGTATATGGGTGGAGTGGTCAACATCCTGAGCCAGTGACAAATGGACTGATCCGAGTGACGTGCAGGACACGGTACGAGACGCTATCGCCGCAGGCCAGGCAAGCATGAAAACCTACTACGATCGGAGCCGTTATCCAGGGACGAAGTGGGGGAAGTCGTTGTCATGCTACGACAGCCACGACCAGATCAACGTACGAAGCTGCAGGCCAAATATCGTGAGCGTCCACTGCATGTGATGGAGGTGTTACCGGAGGACACCTATAGAGTGGCCGAGGTGGCCTCAGACGGACGAGAGGTCTACGCCACCGACTAAGATAGAGAGGACTGGAAACGATATGATGGGCGGGTGATGGGGAGCCGGACCGCAATTTCCTCGGTCCCTCTACTCTGCCCCGCCAAAATTTGAACACAGCTAACATGAACGCTATCTGCTTGGTAAAATATCAACTATTTGGATATAATTTTTCAAAATTAAAATATAAATATAGCCTATAGGTATTTAAGTATATTACTACTATAGTAGGTTCCTATTAAAAACCACTGACTTTAGTCCGTGATAAAAACTAATTTATTACTATGGTCAAGGGTCCATGACACAATGTATTCTTTAGAATCTTTCTGATTTATTATTATCTCATTAATATTCTAATTTATGTAATTCTATTGTCTAATAATGTTTTATTTTAAAATGAGGACGTGTTCGGTTGTTGGATTTCTAAGTCTTAAACAGGGTCGTAAACCACCTTTATTTAAAGTAACAGCAGAAAATAAATTAGAATGGACAAAAATCGTCCAAACAATAAATAAACAAACAAAATAATTGAAATATGTTTGTTTGGAACATTTTTCTCTAAATGATGTTAAAACAACATTTTCATTACCAAATGATATAGTTCATAGTGATGCTACTTTAGTAAGTATAATACATTAAGCTGTGGTCATAATAGAAGTTAATTCTTTGTTTCTATGGATATTTCAAAAACTAAATATCATTTATGCTAGGAAAGACAAAGATATTAGTCCTATTAGTGTCATGTATAAAAGAAAACTTACCAGAAGTAGTAATTGATAACCCCGCCGAGTCATTAGTCTCATGTAGAAAAGAACTGTTTCCAAAAGAAGTATTAAATAAACATAAGCCATCAGTCATGATAATTTAATATGTACCCATGTTTATTAAAATGAAATACTATAACATAAATATATATTTTTATTTAAAGGCCACAGGAGTAATAAAAGAACATGGCATTGATGATATAGATGGACAATTGGAAAATAAACGAATTCGTTTAATATCTTTTAAGTACACTATAAATGTAATTACAAAAACAAAAGTATTCAACTATTATTATACAAACATTATTTGTTTCATTTTTAGAATACAATTTATTATGATGAAATTTTGGAAATATTTAACATTATGATTTTACCAACATGTTAGAACTTATAATTGAAAGACAAATAGTTTTTAATAAAAACCTAGATATAGATCTTTATGTCAACCAAAAGAGAATTGGACCAGAGCTTCTAGAATTGAATAAATTAGAGTATTCTTTGAATTTAAACATAATAACAGAAACAATTGAATGTTTTGATTCTAAGAAAGTTTGTCAGGGAGGCCCTAGTGTTCATAATTTTCCAGGTAAATTACCATTTATATACACAAATGTAAAACAATTTTGTAAATTATAATAATAGTTACTCACCTAATCATTATAAAAATGTTTACTTAGGAATATATGTTAAGACCGTTGTGAAAGTTTGCATCCGTACTATAGAAGTTATAAAAAGGGATCACGTTTGCAATAAAAGAAACAAATTGGACCTAGACTTACACCTAATCGCCGGTCAATACTAAACAAGATGTTAAATGAGAAAAAAATATTTAAAAAAAATCAAACAATAGGTATATTTGAATTATTTACAAATTTTATATTCTTATTAATTAATTGTTTTATTTAATTATTAGGTTTCGTTCAACAATTGAAAATTCAAATAAAAATTTAGGAAAGATCAAAAAACAAACTAAAAACTTATCTGATACCTACCTGAAAAAACTATTTGCTTTAAATAATTTGAATGATTCACAGAAAACTCTAATTCAGGAAATAATTAATACAAGTAAAGTGCCAAATTTAAAAAATAAACGGTTTTCAGAAAATTGGATTCTGTTATGTGTTCTATTAAAAATTAGGGATCTACCCATGTTTGAATAAATACTATAGTGGCATTTTTTCATATTGATTTTATTTTTATAGGTAATTTTAATTTTTAATTTTGTTTTATTTATAGATCGTCTTCTACTTATACATTTTTGAGAGAACAGGAGTTTCTACCCCTGCCTTGTAAACGAACCATCAGGAATTATTTATCATTAATAAAGACAAAATGTGGGTTTGATGAACAATTTTTTCTATTATTGAAAAACAAAATATTAATGTTAGAGCCACAGCAAAGACATGGTATGTAAGTTTTTGACGAAATATTTTTAAGAGAGTGCATAAGTATTAATTCTCAAACACTTACATATTCTGGGATGGAAGATTTTGGTGGTGAGGTTATAGGATCTGGATTAAAAGCTCATGTGAAGCGGTCCCTCGTAATGGACCTCTATGAAACATAGTAAAATAATAGTAATATTATGATAGTAAAATCATAAAAATGTTTTTAACAAAGACTAAAATTAAAAATAAATGAACAATATTGTATACTTCAACTAAACAAATAATGGCCGTTTCTGTCAGTCTTTTAATAGTAGTAAAATAAAAGAAATATAATAGTAAAATCATCATACATTTTTAACAGATTAAATTTAAATGAACAAAATTAAAATAATAGTAATATTATAATAGTAAAATCATAAAACATTTTTTAACAAAGACTAAAATTAAAAATAAATGAACAATATACAGGGTGATTCTTTTATCGTTGAACACTCATTATCTCGAAAAGTATTAACTTTTTTTCAATTTTTTTTTTTTTTAAATTTTAGTTTTATGTATTTCTACATTTGTATAAATGTTTTATATTTTTCACCCTTATATTAATTAGGTAAACTACTATCAACTTTTGATTTTCAAATGGTAACCTATACTTAAAATTTCATAAATTAATAATGCTATTTTTTTTATGAATTATCACGTTTAAATTTTAATTTTTCGTTAATCCGTTGATGAGATATTGTTCTTCAAAGTTGAGTTGTTCTGGGAGGTATTTGTGTGTAAAGTAAATATTGTGTTGTATCTCGTCAGTAGATACCGCAGTTATTACGATTTTTATGCCCCAGGGCAAAAGGTATTACATTTTAAAATCAATTCAAGTAGGCGCAGTAAGGTTGAATTGTGCCCCTAAATGTATTGTATAATATCCATTTGCTTGGGTGTCCGCCGTTCGCCCCACGGAAGGTGATTTCGCCACTGGTCATAATAATACTTATCGATTATAAAGACCAGAAGTTAAAAGTAATAAATTCCTTATCGTTTGAACCCAAGGTATAATAGTGATAATCATTGTACCTACTCGTTTCCGCTACAATAACTTATTGTTATAATGTCATATTTTAAGTAATTGGACCATTAGTGTCACATGCGCAATACTCGCGTGTAATCCCCTCGACCCCATTAAATACCTATTAAGTATGGAGTACGGACAATTTGTGACAACGGACACACAACAATACGATGATGTCTGATTAGACTGGTTTGCGATTAGGTATTAACAGATACGAGCGTCTAGAGAGTAGAGACCACGGTCTTAGAAGATATCTTAGGTTAGACAAGAACATAGGAAGATATCTAAGACCATACTATTTTCTATGTTATAACCTCAAATATTTTTCCAATTATTTCCCGTGTGATAAGTTTGCATGGCATATCTATTATCTATGCTAGAGACTGATAGTGCCTATTATATCATATCTTATGTGCTCTCTGCAATAATTGCAGCTGACATCGTGGTTCCGTGGTTATATGATATGGAAGTATACCTTTTACTGGGTTAAGGTTAATCACATAAAAATACGTTAGTAATACGCACGGTTTAAGATAGTATCTTAAACCGTGGTAATACGTTAGTTATTAAATAAACGGTTAAGGTTATAAGATAACTCATAAGTCATAACAAACTGAATCCGTGAGTCCGTGACTCATGGTCGTAGGTATTTTATTTTTTAATATACCTAATACCCTATTGGTTCTTCTATAAAGTATAATTATTGTCTTTATTATTATTTAATAATTTAATACTTTAATCAAACATATATGTACCTGAATTGATTTATGACACGTGGATTGGATGCTTGGCGATTACATTTGTACAATTTATGGGTAAGTACTAAGTTTCACTAGTTGGTAGTTGCGAAAATTAAAATAAATAATACAATATGTTATTAACTTAAGACATTTTGATTTCAGTTTAAT